GTGGACTCGACAACCATAATATCAGTCCGACTTCACTGCTGAATGCTGCTCATGCGGCCTAAAAGAATGGTACCAGTAGAACCAATCCCTAATAATATACATCTATATTAACGCGCACACTTCCAAACTGGGCAGTTCTTACTAAACCCTGAATCGTTTAAGAGTCATCCGTATAACATTATATCAAAATTATTAACCACTGTACGACATCAATGGAGGTATACCCCCGCATTTTCTTTTCTGCGACCTAATAAGGTACACAGGCACCAAGCAAATAAGCAAGATGTGCATACTTTGAAATGAATCATTATCGCGGTGCCACCATGGTAATTCAATGAAATTAATACAGTGAGCATAATGTCGAAAGTATCATTTCTGAGGATGATTCTTGGACGAAGATATCTACCGGAGGAATGTAACAACGATGTAAATATGGATTTCGGCGGAGAGAGTGATGAAAATACACCGCTCTTCTACCACAATTACTACTACTACTACTACTACTACTACTACTACTACTAATCGTAGTGCTGGTGGTGGTGGCGGTTGTAGTAGTAGTAATAGTAGTAGCAGTAGTTGTAGTAGCCGTAACAGTAGTGGTAGTAGTGCTAGTGGTAGTACTACTACTACTACAATTACTATTACTACTACTACCAATACTGTTACGGCTACTACAACTACTGCTACTACTATTATTACTACTACAACCGCCACCACCACCAGCACTACGATTACTACTACAGCTACTATTACTACTACTGCTACTATTACTTCTTCTACTACTACTGCTACTACTACTACTACTACTACTACGACCACTACTACTACTATTACTGCTACTAGCATTACTACTACTGCTACTACTACTACTACTACCACTACTAGAAGATAGTCTAAAACAAAGGCTGTAGAATCAGACAAATAACTTACACAGCATGTTGAGTTCAGTGCCATTCTTTTTACCGTGGGCAATGCACCGACGCAGGAAGGAGACCAGGTAATAGAAGAGGTTCTGGTAGTCGATTGGGAGGCAGGCGAGAGCTTGAGCGGCCTGTGGGAAGGAGGCGTTGGCGGCCAGGCAGCGGTCTTGGAAGGCGTAGGGCACCACCGGCTCGGGAAGGGTGCTCAGGAAGATGAGCAGGCTGTACGCCACGGAATGCACACTGACACTCTCGGCTGGATTACATGAAACGAGAGAGGGAAAGAAATAATAAGGTGTTATGTGGAGACGGATAGCAGGACAGTAACACACTGAACAAGTTAAATCTTCACAAGAAGTGGCCGTACT